ACAGAAGGAAAAGAGTCTACCGGATTGCGAGAAGAGAAGACTGACTGGTTTGATTGCGGGGAATTGGCCGCTGCTCTTCATTTGGTACTAGGTCCGTACTGTTGCATTGGACTCCGATTGTCGTAAGCTGAAGGTGAGTTTGTGATATTTTTGTTTCCGGATGAATTAGTGATGAGCGTGCGGTTGAATCGCCCTTGAAACGTAGATTTGAAGTCTTGTTGACTACGTGTTGATCTTCCACGACAAGATATAACTGACTGCCCTGTAGGACTACTCAATTGGGCTGACCAAGCACCCCGGCCAGACAGACTCGACATGGTTGCCAATTCGACCAGCCTCGCCTGGAGATCGGCCGGTTTGAGGGCCCGCGCCGTGCCGTCATTGCGATGCTCCCATCGGTCCTCAATCCTTCACAGACAGGCCGCTTTCCAGCAACAAGGTGCCGTGCGACATGCCTCAGGTACGACCAGCGAGGCAGCTGAGGCCGTAAAGGAGGCCCCCAAGAAGGCCGGCCGCGGCCTCAAGAGAACGGTTTACGGAACATCGTTGGTAGTGGCTGCATTGGTGGGTTATGTATATGCGACGGATACCAGGGCAAGCATCCACCGCTACGCTGTGGTTCCTCTTGTTCGGATGCTTTATCCGGACGCGGAAGAGGCGCATCATATCGGTGTAGAAGCTCTGAAGACGCTCTACAAGTATGGACTTCATCCGCGGGAACGCGGCAACCAGGACGGGGACGGTGTGTTGGCTACTGAGGTAATACCGCCCTGATGTGTATAAGTGTCTGTTGCTTAGCAGGGTTTGCTTTTGCAGGTCTTCGGATATACGCTCAACAACCCCATTGGCATCTCCGGCGGGCTTGACAAGCATGCTGAGATCCCCGACCCGTTGTTCGCTATTGGCCCCGCGATTGTTGAGGTCGGCGGCACGACCCCCCTGCCGCAGGAGGGCAATCCCCGACCTCGCGTGTTCCGACTGCCTTCACAGAAAGCCATGATCAACCGATACGGCCTGAACTCCCTGGGCGCCGACCACATGGCGGCCATCCTGGAGAAACGCGTGAGGGATTTCGCCTATGCCAACGGTTTCGGCTTGCACGATGAAGCGGAGCAGCGGGTTCTCGATGGCGAAGCCGGCGTGCCCGCCGGCAGTCTTCAGCCCGGACGGCTGCTGGCCGTGCAGATTGCAAAGAACAAGGCGACACCCGACTCGGACATCGATGCCATCAAGCGCGACTACGTCTACTGCGTTGACCGACTGGCCAAGTACGCCGATATCCTGGTTGTGAACGTCTCCAGCCCCAACACGCCTGGCCTGCGCGATCTGCAAGCGACCGCCCCGCTGACCGCCATCCTCAAGGCCGTGGTGAGCGCCGCCAAGAGTGTCGACCGCAAGACCAAGCCTTACGTGATGGTCAAGGTCAGCCCGGACGAGGACTCGGACGAGCAGGTCTCTGGCATCTGCGACGCTGTGTGGCACTCAGGAGTGGACGGCGTCATCGTGGGCAACACTACCAACCGCCGGCCTGCCCCGCTGCCGCAGGGCTTCTCTCTCCCGTCAAAGGAACAGGCCACGCTGAAGGAGACGGGCGGCTACTCGGGGCCTCAGCTGTTCGACCGCACCGCTGCCCTGGTGGCCCGCTACCGGGCGCTGCTGGATACACCGCCGGCTCCGGCGTCCGATGCGAATGGAACCGACCAGGCCAAGGAACTGGCAGCGGCCGTGACGCGAGCCGAGCCTGACGTGGAGAACGTGCCCGCAGTCGAACCGCCTACTGCCGCCAATCGGCCGGCGCGCAAGGTGATTTTTGCCTCTGGGGGTATCACCAACGGCAAGCAGGCGCAGGCTGTGCTGGATGCGGGGGCCTCGGTCGCGATGATGTACACGGCCGTGACGTATGGTGGGATTGGCACGGTCACTCGAGTGAAGCAGGAATTGCGAGAGGAAAAGAAAACCCGCCAATAGACTGTGGAGCGGATGAAGAGTTTCAATAATTGTAAATAGTCCAGCATTGTCAACGATCATAATTATCATCCTTTCAGGTATTTCACTAATGTTCTAAATCTTGAGTCCACTATTGCTCCGGCAAGGTTTCCTCCACCTCCCGGACCACCTTTTTGACGCCGTCAATCTCATGCGCAAACCTCCCCAGAAACATCCCATCAACCGCCTTCCCCAACCCCCCATCTCCCCACAACCCTGGCCCCGCGCTCCCCCCATACAACAACCTCACCTCCCCCTCCCGCTCTCCAATCACCGCCCTTATCCCCTCCACCACGGCCGCAACATGGTCCACCCCAGCAGGCTTCGCCTTCCCAATCGCCCAGACAGGCTCATACGCAAAGATGACCGGCGCCGCGGCAGGGATCGCACCCAGCACCGCGCGCATCTGCCCCGCACATTCACGCACCGCCAGCCCCACCGCCTCTGACGCGATAGGCCCCGGGGCCGTGACCTCCCCGATGCAGACAAGGGGGATAAGGCCCTGGTCGACAGCAGCGGCCGCCTTGCGCGCGATCTGGTCGTCCGTCTCGGCGAAGAGGGCGCGGCGCTCGGCGTGGCCGAGCTCAACTAGACGGACCCCCAGCGAGCGCAGCGAGGCGGGGGAGACCTCGCCTGTGTAGGCGCCTGTGGCTTCCCAGAAGCAGTCCTGGGCGCCGAGGAGGAAGGGGGGTTCCGGGTCGAAGTCGGAGGGGGCTTGGAAGCCGGCGGCCCAGTCTTTGATGATTTGGGCGCAGGGGTAGATGGTGAGGAAGTCGGGGATGAGGGCTAGGAGGAGCCTGGTGCGGTTTTTGGGGAGGACGATTTTGTTCGTGGGGGCTAGGAGGTCGCGCAGGTAGGAGAGGGTGCGGTCCGGGGTGAAGTACATTTTGAGGGAGATGATGAGGAGGGTTTTGGGGAGGGGAGGGAAGGTTGCTTTCGTGGTGGCCATTATTGTGTTCTGCTGATTGCGCTGTGGATGCGGTAGTGGTAGTTTGGTTGTTGATTAGTTAGGTTGGCTGGTAGCTAAGGCAGGATGACAGCTCGGATAAGGACACAATTGGCTGCCAATGAAGGTGAGTAGGTATTTGAGGTATGACAGGAATGTCCCTCCTAGTTGTTTGCACATACCTCTGGGGATAGATTGTTAATGAGAAGCAATTATGCGGTGTCTCATCTGGTGATGTCACCAATTCATTGGCAATGGTGTGCTTCAGGACTGACACCTCTCAGCACAGGAATGTGTTGATGGGCTGACAAGGAAAAACACGGATCTAATCTGAACATCCCAATCGCTAAGTCATGTCATTGAGTCTAGACTTGTCTTTTGTCAATATCTGCCAGTCATGGGATGCTCTCCTGCTCCAAGTCGGCGCAACTCCGATGCCTGAAGCTGTGGCTGTACGGACGTCGGGAGGCTTGTTTAGGCTATCCTTGGAGTACCTGACAGAGTATCTTACAGCCTCGGTACACCTCCTTGATACGTCCATAGCTGAACAATAATGGAAAGAAACAGAACGAGATGGATACGGATCTTGGAATATGTACCTATATTATTAGTGTGAAGCCATCCCGAGGAGCCGCTTGGGCCCTTCATTATTGGACATTAAGAAACTGATGAATGGACAGAATGGTAGGTTGACACACGCTTGGCCAAGAGCAGCAAGCCGATTCTATCGAGTTAAAATATTATGAAAAGTGGGGACTGGAGCATCAAGTAGGAGTGGGGGTTATGAAGCTGAGACTGTCCTTTCTGATATCATAGTCTGTGTCCATCATGCTTTTTCCGACATGGATAGATGCTATTACGCGGTGTACTGTCCTCCGCTGACAATCATGAGTAAGTACCTGTAATCTCTCAAGTTATAGGACAGTAAGGTAGTAAATCAACTCTTTGATACTGGACATGAATCATGATACCTCTGCATCTATAAGGTACATGTGGATCCCTAATACTAGTCTACCACTAGTTTCGATGGAACCCCAGAATAGGTATTCCGGGGTTCAACGGACTCACTGTTCAATACTCGAAGCCATGGTTTTATCGCCTAGATCCCAAGGAGTCGGTTTCCGATTTCAAGACAGCACAACATGGGAACATAGAAGAATTGCTCAAAAGAATTGTACGAGAACAGATACACAGGAGTGTCATGCCGCATAAGCATACTGAACCATCATAGTTCTCAAGCCAACTCAGCATCAAAGTCTACTGCGTGTCTGCGTCCGAGCACGGATAGACGACACTCTCTAGCCAGGGCCAATCTGTCTGTCACTGGCTCTCTCGTCTCAAACAAGCTCCACTGGACAACCTACTATACTTACCTCTCAGAGTCAAGATAATGAAGATCAGCTTTGTTGAACGCGGTGTTTCTGGGCTGGCGTCATACAGGACGGTACAAACTCTTATGCTATGACCATCCGCCTGTGGATGTTGCAGGATTCGTCCCAAATCATCCGAGAGACAGTCAACGTCAAATGAACTTTTTTTCTTTTTCGATATAATTGGATGATAATACCGCCAGTAATGCATCAATAACCATAGTACCTAGTCCGTAGTACTGGGTCCATGACATAACGCCACTGCGGGGCATCGCAAATGTCTCATTCCTCCACCACGGTCCATGACATCTCTACCAATGCCTCCGATGCGGGTTGTGGGGGTTTCCATCCCCCCTTTATCCTATAAAACCGTCTGTCAGAAAGACAATGGCCGCAGATGCCGTGCAGGCAGAACTCAATAGTCCAACAGAGACTCGAGACGACTAAGTTCAGCACCCAACCGATGCACGGGACAGTCTCCACTGCGCCCCCAGATACTGTTGCAACCGAGAATGGAGGTGTAGAAGCACCAACTAAAGCTCACAGGGCAAAGATATAAAGGGCGTCTTGAATCCCCTTTTGTCATCCATCGTTCAAGTGGATTCTTTTCATCGGACCTACTCCGTACATCTGCGCCTGTCAATCTCTATATCCACACATTCCACTTTTCTTCTCCATCTGGCTTGTACTTTGTCATCATGTCTACCGATGCGAAGCCCCTCCGCATTGTCATGGCCTGTGATGAGGCCGGCCAGCCCTACAAGGAGATCATCAAGGCCGTCCTGGAGAAGAACCCTCTGGTCGAGTCCGTCACTGACGTCGGCGTCAACTCCACCTCCGACAAGACCGCCTATCCTCACCCTGCCGTCGCCGGCGCCAAACTCATCAAGGAGGGCAAGGCAGATCGCGGTCTCTTCATCTGCGGCACCGGTCTCGGTGTCGCCATCGCCGCCAATAAGGTCCCCGGCATCCGCGCCGTGACCGCTCACGACTCCTTCTCTGTGGAGCGCTCCATCCTCAGCAACGACGCGCAGGTCCTCTGCTTTGGCCAGCGCGTCATCGGCATCGAGCTGGCCAAGAAGCTCGCCAACGAATGGCTCACCTACCGCTTCGACCCCAAGAGCGCCTCTGCCGCCAAGGTCCAGGCCATCACCGACTATGAGCGGGAATTTGCTGCTGCTCAGTAGATGGGCTCAATTTGAGGATTGGCCCGTGCAGCCGTCAATGGTGACGAACAGACATATTTTATTCGCCTATATAAACCGTCTTGGTTAAACCGATTTATACGTGTATACGCACACATGATCTTTTTTGATGTTATCCAGCGAATCAATGAGACCACGGCTGGTCGGGATGAATTGGCAGGCCGACATCCCGTCCATCGAACTATCTTTTCCCTGTTGATAAAAGCTATTTACATGATAGATGAGAATCAACTTTTTGGGAATTATTTTTCGTACATATTCTTCTAGTCCCAAACAAGTAAGCAAGGCATTTCTATCTTATGCTTCAATACCGGCTGAGTCAGCCGCTTCCGCTCGACGATTCCGCGGGGATCCATCGGCTTCGATGCGTTTGCACGGTGACTGACAACCAGGCATCAAATTCCAGCATCCATAATTATAAGAGATGGATAACGACATCCTGCTTCTCGTCTCCAGCGTGAGGCATCACTCCTGGATTTCTATGGGCCTGTATCCGCCTAATAGATCTTACCACGGAATACCCCGGACTATGCCAGTTGACTCATTGTTCAGTCTACTGATTCTTCGATTGCATCCGCTCGACCTTTTTCGGGTTACTCTAAGTCTCTGGGTCTAACGCGCCCGTGCCTGTGGAGCAGCCTCGGTAGTCGATACTGAAGTGTGAAGAGCGGCCCCACCGTGATCGGTGTCCATCTAAGTGCGTTGACTGATCACAATTCACCGAGTCATAGACTCCATCGCTTCATCTATTGTGATATATCTCGAATATCCGATCGCCCGGCATGTCCTTCGAACTGAAAGAGAAGGGCAACCAGCTCTTCAAGGAAGGTGACTATAATGGTGCGGAGGAGCTCTACTCTCAAGCGTGATTATCCCCGTTGCCCATGTCATCGCCGAGCAGATCTGACTTTGATGGATTGGTAGTATCCAGAAGAACCCGCGCGAACCCACCTTCTTCACCAACCGCGCCCTTACCCGGATAAGGCTGGAGAAATGGGCAGGTGTGGAACACGACGCGCGCGCCGCGATCGAGCTGTACGGCCTCAAGAACCCCCAGAGCCTCAAGAGCTGCTGGTACCTCGCGCAGGCGCTCCTGGGCCTCGGGCGCCCGCAGGAGGCATACGAGGTGGCCATCGATGCCTACCGGGCGAGTCTGGCTGCCAAGAGCGCGCAGACGGAGAATCTGTCCAAGACGGTCCTGCGGGCCAAGCAGCAGATCTGGGCTGCGAAGGAGACTGCCCGGCTGCGGGAGATGAATGGTACCCTGGCCACGGTGGAGTCGTTGATCGAGGCCGATCTCAACAGGGAGCTTGCGGAGCTGCAGGCCAAACTGGACAAGGGCGAGATCGGACAGACGGGGTTCGTGGAGGATCAGAAGGCGCTCCGTGCGGATGCGGAGAAGAATATCCAAAATGTCCGGGAGGCGTTCCGCATTGCATCTAATGGTGATATCCAGGAGAGGGTAAGTGGTAATCCTTGTGGGAGAGTGTTCCTTCTTGTGGGGAGGGTATCTAATGATTTTGGTCCAGGTTGTGCCTGATTACCTGATTGACGGGATCACCTTTGAGATCATGCATGATCCCGTCATCACACCCAGCGGTACCAGCTTCGATCGCATTGGAATCGTTAAATACGTCGAACAGTCCGGTGTTGACCCCATCACCCGGGCGCCCATGACCGTGAACGATCTTCGGCCCAACTATGCGCTGAAAGCTGCATGCGAGGAGTTCCTCAACAAGAACGGCTGGGCTGTGGACTGGTAGATCCTGGATATACTGTGGTTTTGGTTTTCACTTCTTCTGATGTATTCTACGAGTTGCGAGCAGGGATACCCGCTGCTATTCCTCTCCTCTTTCTCTTTCTTTCTCTTTCTGCATCGAATGGCGTCTTGGATGGCACGCAGTCTGCACTATGGATGATTTTGTGATTTTTGCATAATGTTTGGAGTACTGTCCCTGGTCACTTTTTTCATGTGATGACTTGGCATAATGCGCATGTCTACATTCTGTATGACTTGGTATATGGAACCAATCAACTGACATATACACATGACATGCATCTACCTAATAAATACTAGTCCAAGGCTGTCAAACCATATAGAAGTTGCCGAGTTCTGACGTAGCACAGTGTATAGTCTGTAAGAGTCTGTTTATTTACTCCGTACTGCCCCAACGGATTCTGCTAATCAACCCCACCATCCATCCCACCTCCGCTATTTTCACCCCTCACCACTTCCCTTCCCCTAATCCAAACACCCACAACACTTATCCATATCCATATCAGCTCAACAGAAACAGACACAGACACAAGTCAAGAAAGCAATCAAAATGGCCTCCCTCACCGACTTCTTCACTGCCTTCGACGCCGCCGCCTCCAAGGAGAAATTCACCCCCGCCCTGCAGTCCGCCGCCGCCTCCATCGACAAGGCCGCTCTGCAGGCTGCCCTCGACGCCGTCCTCGCCGCCGGCGACGACGCAACCGCAGCCGGGAACGATGCCGCCCTGAAAGCCGGCTTCGAGTTCGCGACGGAACTGATCAAGATGCTGGAGAAGGAGCCCGGGCCGGAGGAGAAGCTGGTGGTATGTCTTCGACTGCACCCTGGGTATATCAGAGTGACTGGGTGAAAGGGCGATGCTGATGATTCTTAGCTGTACAAGTACTTCAAGCAGGCGAGAGGCGAGAAGCCTGCTGAGCCGTCGTTTTATCAGATGGAGGTATGTTCGCTTTTTGCAGTTGCTGTTTGCTGCTTTCTGTGGGAAGGCTAATGATACGGTGACAGGCCAAGTTCAAGTATAATGCCTGGAAGGAGATTAACCACATCAGTGCGCAGAAGGCGCAGGCGCTGTATATCAAGCAGGTGAACGATCTGATCAACAAGTACGGCACCCGTGCGTGATTGCGTTTTGTGGATGTGGTGGATGCTACTTGGGAGGATATACGCTACCTATGGAGTATTAAGAATGTCAAGTTACGCGTGATATGAGCTTTGGATGGTTTCTGCTGTGTACATTGTAGACTGTAGAGTCACCCCTCCCATGTCTGCCCCAGCCAGTCTGGTTCGGTGTGGGCAGTTGTAGCGCACCATGGGACTTCGTCGGCTTTGTAGGAGGTCAGGGGGAGGTCGTACGGCATCCGGAGCCCGACGAGGACATCGCATTCTGGCGCATCCTCTGGGGCAACCAGCGGAAGGTCGCGTTTGAAGCACGGAACCATGACCGCTTGCTGGAGTCGCTCGGGGGGATCACCTTCTTGAACAAAAAGCTGCGGCCAGACCATCACACCAATTTCCCAGCTGCTGATCCTCACTTCCCCTGCGTTGTTGACGGCCGCTCCCCACGCCTGGGTAGACAGGTTGGCGGACGTCACCATCGCCCAGTCGATCGTGTCCATCTTCTCGGCGTCTGAGAAGCGAATGTACGTTTTGATATGGGGCGCCGCGCGGCGGCGGCCAGCTTCCCTTTGAGAAGTAATGGCCGAGCTACTGCCGGCACTGTCTCCGGCCCAGTGGCGCAGATATGGCCGCATATATTGAAGTTGTTTCTGCTGCGTGGCGCTTTGCAGCTTCATGTGGATCGATCCGCCGGATCCATAGCCGTTTAGAGATCGGCGGATCTCATCGGGAGTAGGGAAGATAATGGAGTATTTCGGTTGGGGGATACCCGCAGTGGAGGAAGTGGGCGAGAGTGAAGCGAAGAAGACGTCTTTGAGCCACTTGTCTGTTTGCCCGAGGGAAGCTATGGAAGAGATCTACTGGTTGTCAGAGCTTGATCGTACAAAAAACGGGGCCGGTCCTAACCTGGGTGACAATATGTGATGGCACAATTTGGCCGTTCCCCTTCGGCGTCAGAGGTATCTCGCAAGTAGCTTCTTTCAAAGCTGGCCATCCCCATAGCGTCTTCTTCCGCGAGTCCAGAGAGCTGAGCTTCTGTTTCGAAGGGACGCTTGCGATCAAAGCGGCGCGAACTGCACTAAAGTCGAAGCGCTTGAGTTGTGTGACCAGGGGCCCTGTTTTCTTGACTCCGTATTCGTTCAGGTAGGCGATGAGATCCCTTTTGAACCTTGTCCCGCTGCCGACGGCTCCAGGCCCCTCTGGTTCCCTTTCAGTCCTTCGCAGCGGGAGCAGAGGAGACCGCCAGACGGCCTGGCACATATTTGCCCAGTCGCCGGGTATCATATTAGCCGTATGAATGACAACTCTGCTCAGTCAGTAAAGCGGAAAGCAACTGACTCCAATATCACATACTGTGCAAGATCGTCATGACGAAGGAGGATCATCATCTTCGAATGATGTGTACCAAACGGTTCGGGCATGTAGGCAGTTATCGCCTCAACATTCGGATATCGAGGACATGCTTCCTGCTTTGGTAAACATCCTCATCACACAGACTAATTCTCTTGCAAGATGAAATAAAGAGAAGCATACCTCAATCCGAATCCGATTCGGGGCGTCCTTCTTCCACGATCCATGGACAACCTTGACCTGCACCAGGCGTCTTACATCCTCGTCGAACTGACTCATCAGAAAGTCCACATCAAACAAGAAATTGAACTGCCAGCATTCTCGGATCATGGGATCCCCAAGGATATCTTTCAACCGAACTGTATCGACATTGTTGCCTGAGGCAGCAGAGAGGTCCCGGATATGAGTGAGCTGGATGGGAGATGGGATTAACCGCGATCGACCACTAGTCAACTCTGCAGAGTGAACGGAGGTTTGAGGCACAGATGATTCCCTACGGGGTCGTGATGATGGAGGAGGAGTGATGGATCTGTGCAAGGATGCCAAGCCATCTGCTACGGCTGTCGGAGTCGCTTCGATGGGATCTAGCTGCTGATCAATAGCTGATAATTTGACCCTCTTGGAGGGGCGGTCTTCTTTTTCCATCGCGTAGTAGACGATAGATGAAGAAAAGAGCCTGGTTGACTTCCTAGTTTGAAGCCAAAGTTGGAGTGTGATAGACGAGGATGGCGGTACGACAAAC